AAAGTATTTAAATTTAGAAAATCTAAGACACATAAATGTGTCGAATCATGACATGCATGTGGAAGAAAAATGGTCTTTTGATGATCAAATCTAAATTTAAGATTCTCCTAGAACTTGATTGGATCTTCTATTTCTAAATATTGATGTTGTAATGCAGGTACAAGATGTCAACAAAAGAAAAGAAGTACTTTCCAATGGAAAGTAATAGAAATTGAAGAACTTGTAGTAGAAGATTCTTTAAATAAAATTACATATGATGCTTATTCTACAAATAATTTTTATTTTTTTATTTTTACTCATAAAAGATAATTATTTCCATCAACTGCCAATAATAGAAATAGAAGAGTTTGAAAATGTTAGGATGCAGTGGTGATAGTTGAAAATATATTAGAAGGAGTTGAAGATATTCAAGTACTCATTATAAATAAATCTGTGAACAAAAAAAATTTGAGTTCAAGTAGAAAATGTTGAATAAAATGTACCTTAAAATATAAATCCAAATAGAATAATAAAGTTGAAATTTGAAATCAAAAATATTAAATATATATATATATATATATATATATATATAGTTTACAAAAATAAGCATTTGCAGTGGATTACAGCAAGGTATGTCAAGCGTGGCAGTTCAATGGTAGGGTGTGGCAATTTGGTGGTAGTCAACAATAGTTGATGACAATCAGTGGCAGGGTTGGTGGCAGTAGCAGTAGCAAAAATTGTAACAATAGCAGTGACATAAGATAGCGACAACAACAATAGAAGACATCAATAGTAGTAGCAACAACAACAATTGTAGCAACATTATAAGAAGGGAAAAAAAGATTTAGAAGAAAATGAAAGAAAAAAATGCACATAAGTTTTTAAGAATTAAGAACTAAGACTAGAGTATAAAAGTAATTGTGCCTATAATGTGTTGAGAATGTTTTAGAAAAAGAGAGACAATAGTAGCTAGAAATAATATGCACATATATGTAAAGACACACACAAGAAGAGAGTTTATTGATAGGATTATATCCTTTATATAAAGAGAATGGGAGAAGATAAATAGTGTCATCCTACTACATTCCAAACATTATAGCTATAGTAAATAGTATGGAGAGCACCGGCTACATTTAATGCTCTCAACTTTTTTTTCATTACTTCTTCTTTTGCAATGAAATCATTCCAAAAAAGAACCTAATCAAATCATCAATTAGCTCTAAAACTTGACTGATGTCTTTTTTTGGTTCTCTTCAATTCTTTCTTTAATTAAAGCTACAATTCTTTTGTTTATGGTGACTCCAAACTCAAAAGCTTATTTTTCCTCAACAACTTTGAAACAATACAAAGAAGTGTCATTCCATCCTCAAGTACACTAAACAAACCTTCTGACTTCTTTGTCACTTTCATGTAAGAGATTTGTGACTCAATGTAGTAGATGTATGCCCTAATTCCTTCCAAGTAATCAATTGGAGATTTATCTTAAAATTCAGAAGTTCCACTCTTCTTTTTCTTAGATAATTAGCAGATTGTATACTTCATACAAGTGGTAGAAAAAAAGACAGACTTAGGTGAAACAAATCTTATTAATTTTTCGAGTTTCACAATGAATTGTATTAAAAAGAAAAATAATCCAATTTATTGTTATAGTGCATATTAGAGTTTTTGTAGTCATTGTTGCCAAGATTTTGCTTATTTGATTGAGGTGGTTAATATAAAAGATTGATATGAGTGTAAGATTGAAGTTTTCCTTGCATTCTTCCATTGTAAATGTAATAGTACTTATATCCTTCACAAATATTATACAAATCTTATATGAAGATTAATAAGAATTTGACTGTGAGATTTTTACCTCATTGCATCTTTAAGCCTATAAGTCTTGGCTATAAGAATCAAGTCTTATTCTTTGAGGCAACTTCAAATCAAACCTTCTAAGTTCAAAGTCATCTCCTTTATCACCAACTCTTATATAATCTAGTTTCTCAAGAAATTCCAAAGGAAGTCAAGTAGTATCTTACAAACAATCTTTATAAAGCCTTCTTACAACTTGGCTTTCACCTTCTCATCCGCCAAACTCCATGGCTTAATTTTCTTTAAGACTACTTTGGTCCTTACCATCTCTTATGTACTTGGATCTTACATATAGAATATTAATTACTTACTCTTTTTAATCTCTTAGAATCTCTCTTCATTGTCTTTGTACAACTAATTCTTAATGTTCAAATGCTTTTCAAGCTGAATCATCTTTTAGATTTTATAACAATCATCTCAAGGTTGTTTTGAGCTTTTAATTATTTTTCATTTCTTGTTGAAGTGATTAACAAATGACAATATCTTTACTTGTTGCTCCTATTTATTATGGTTGTATAAGCAATTGATACATTGCAAAATAATTATTATTGCAAAAAAAATCTTATAATAAATGCAAGTATGAATTCTTTCTTGCTTTTAGCTAATATCTTTCAGAATATTTTTTTGTCCATTATTTTGCTATAAAGTTGCTTGTGGCTCTTTTTAATGGTTTTCAATACTTATATTGATTTAATTAGAAGTTTGATAGTCTTGCCAAAGTAATAATTGTGCATTATTTATTACCTTGATGTAATTTTGGAGCAATTTTGGAGGCATCATGAGGACATTGTTTCTCTTGTCACATCAACTCTTACTCCTATCTTATCACCTTGGATTATTCTTTTTTCAATAGTCTTAGAATATAGCAACATATAGCTTCTATATTGATTGATTCCAAATAGTTTATAAAATGATATCAATTTTTTTTTAGATAAATTATTGATTTATTGGTAAGATTTGTTTTTATTTAATAAAATTGTTATAATCTTGAATCTTACTTATGGTTGATTCAAATCTAAAAGGCCTATCTAAACTTCAAAAGTTATAAAAATTTAATTTATTGCATATCTAATTTAATAAAATTGAGTTATAATAAAAATAGATATTTGATATTCTTCTAAAAAGTTCACACCTAGTTATTAGAAAAAATAGCATTAGATTCCAAATTTATAGATTGTATATTTATAAATGAATGGTTGATATTACACATGTTTTTTTTTTTCTATCTAATAATCTTAACATGCTAAGTTGGGTTGCACAATTATCCTTAAGTTAGACCTAAATATGGAGTTTCACACATACATGCATTGTATGTAGTTGTCCTTACATATTTAAGTTGATATTTATATATTTTTTGGAGAACATGGTGGTGTTCTTTGATCCTAAGGTTGCCTTTACTCATAATGTTTTCAAAAGTCTATGGTAGATAATATTGTGGCCTTAGTAACAAAGGCCACATCAATAGAAGCAATGATCATGCAATCCATTGCTTAAGATTGCAATGCATGTTCTATTGAATTTCAACCATTCTACAAAAAAGAAAATGATGCAATAATAACATATATGTATATGGTTTCTTAAATATAATAATGCAAGAAGATAATAATAAAATAATAGATAGAGAATGGGTAGTTTAAACAAAACAAAATAATAAGATGAAAATCATGCAAGTATGTAAATGATATAATAAAATTTATAGAATGGTGCCTCCAAAAAAGTCTTGGCATTATCCATAGCAAAATGAGTTGCTTCATAAAGATGTCATATAAGCAAGAGTCCATGAAGCCCTTGTATACTTTATCACTGTTGTAAGTCCAAAGTTGTCAAAGAAGTTGCAATGATTCTTTGATAATAGAAATGTTTCAAAAGATGCAAGTACTTTTTTTGGTTGTTATTTTGTAGAAGTCTTTGATGCATTGATGTTTTGAACTTTTATTTCTTTGATAAGAATAGACTCTTATATAGTTGTAATATCTTTTGCTTATATATGTGAGTCACATGTACACATTGGCATCCTTCCAAACACCTCAATGATTAATTACAAGATGCTCATTACAATATAGAATGCCTATAACTATGGTATCATTTCAAAAACATACTTCAAAATACATGTCTTGGATTTCTATGAGAAAAATAGAAGTATTTGGTACAATACAACAAGATGCAAAAAGATTGTTATTATAACATAAATGTATTGTTTATAACTTATTATTTTTTTTGTAGATGTTAAAAAGATGTTTAAGAAAAAAAGACATGCACATCACTCTAAAATAGTGCCATAGGTAAAATCCATGAATCTTTATTGGTATATCAACAAACTTCATTAACTTGTTTTTTATTACAACAAAATTTCATTCAAACATAAATCAAACCTCATACAATATATAGTATAAGTGTGTATATTCCATGAGAAGATTAAAGGTTTATTTTATTTTATTGATTTGTGGATTGTTGTAAAGAAATTCTACAAGTGTCATTTACATTCAATTGTATGTATTAGGAACACCAAATGCCTAGAATTGGATTCACTCTTGTTATGACAAGCATTACAAAATATGCAAGTGTAGTTGCATCTTGTGGCAATTAGCACCCACTATTGCTTCTCTACTTGGCCTTCAACTCAAAACTTTGGTATAGACTACTTCCCGCACCATAAATAGGCTTTCAAGTAATTGGGTGACTATCAAACCACAAGGAAGCATAGCTTTAGCAACATCAAGAGCACGTTATTTGGCAAAACCCTCCCACAAACAAGCAAACAGGACTCACGAGTCTTGTAGAATGTGGGCTCATTGTGAGAAATATGTAGTTTCACAACACCCACCAGGAGTAGTTTTGGCAAACATCACAGTCTGTGAAAGAGATAAAAAGGCAAGGAACCACGAAAGGGACTGAAAGGACGCACCAGAAAGAGAGGATGAGAAAGGAGACCGTGAGCTCCGCAGCGGGGTGCACAGTAGTGCGGGAAGGAAAGGATGAGCGGTGTGTTATCTATCGCTGTGCCATCCAACGGCGGGAGATCGGAGTCTCCGCACGCCATGAAGTATGTTGCCGAAAAGCGAAAGAAGCAACCGCATCCCTACCCTTCCGAGGTCCAAGCTGTGGACAGCGTTGATCATCCTCCACTTGGTCGTCGCGCTTGGATCCATCCGGTGGTACAAAAACACCAACACTCCAACTGAGCTTCCTCAGGTCTTTCAAGCAGCTCGACTGTTGAGCATCGCACGGGTTGAGATCTGTGAGTGAGTGGGAGCGTGTGCTACATCTGTTTGCAATGGCTTCCGTCGTCGCTGCCTCCAGCGCAGTGGCACCTGCGGCTGCCTTCGTCGCAGCATCGTCGTCGGGAGTGTCGACCTCGGAGGCGACGTCGGTGAAGGCGTTCTCCGGGCTGAAGAGCACCACCCTGTTCTCCGGCAACGCGCGGAAACTGAGCTCCGTACAGAACGGAAGCCGGGTCCAGTGCATGCAGGTGTGGAACCCCATCGGCATGACCAAGTTCGAGACGTTCTCGTACCTGCCCCCATTGTCGGACGACGCCATCGCAAAGCAGGTGGAGTACATGATCCAGCAGAAGCTGATCCCGTGCCTCGAGTTCGACGTGGTAAGTGATTGAGAGCTGGGATTGGGTGCGACGTGGTGTGGGGGTGGTGCATGACGAGAGGAGGAGTGGGGAGGTTTGGTGGAGCAACGGTGAGGTAATGTGGGGAATGCGGTGGGGGTGGATGGGATGTGTGCGGGTTGGGGAGAGTGGGGGAGGAATTGTGTGGGAGGTGGCGGTGTGCTGACGAGTGGTTGTGGGTGTGTGTGATGTGGAGCAGAACTCGAACGGTGTGTCCCGCGTCAACAACTCGTCCCCAGGGTACTACGACGGGCGGTACTGGACGATGTGGAAACTGCCGATGTTCGGATGCCAGGACTCGGCGCAGGTGCTGCGTGAAATCGAGGAGTGCAAGAAGACGTTTCCCGGGTGCTACGTGCGCGTGTTGGGCTTTGACAACGTGAAGCAGGTGCAGATCTGCGGGTTTTTGGTGGCGAGGCCCAACTAGGCGCAGCTAGAGCCAACTCAAGAATTTGTCGAAACTACTGGAGATGTTAATGATAGTGATAAGGTAGATACTTGTTGGAAGGCATATGCTAGGAAGTTATATGTGCCCTCCCACCCACTGCGTTTTATTTTTTGGGGGCAATTCCTGAATGAGAATACGAGCAGATTTGACGTTATTGCAACATCGGTTTGGATGGCATGGTATGAGTTCCCACAGTATAGCCTGGTGGAGTTGTGCTGTCTCATGCAGAGGATGGACGTGTGTCGAATGAGGCCGTCCTGATAGCGCCATCATACCGAAGTGGGTCAGGGGGTGGTGTGCAAAGTTGCATGATTTTTAGAAGTGGCAGCCTCATTGGACGTTTTTGTGTGTGTTGGTTGATTGAACGGAGAAAAGGGCTTCAGAGAATCTTAGAAACATGATCGGAGCCGCAATTGCAAGTGGTAGAGTTCCGGTCGGCGGGCTAGTCCAGGGTCCTTTATCTGTAGAAATCCATTCCGGTTCACAGTCGAGTTGGGTAGTTAACGGGTGGTCCCGGGAACGCCTTTATACACACTCGTGGGGAAAATCATGACTGCGCAACTGAAGTAGCAGCTGCGCAGTCCAGAGCGTACATTCACGGTGAATCTGGAGTGCAGGAGGTGAGTTGCTGGGGTAGAGAAAAGATTGGGGAAGATCGTTTACAAGGAAAATGATCTTGATGAAAACGTTCTGCAAGAACACGTCTGGCAATGAGCGTAGAATAGCAGCAGTGGAGCGTATTTAAAAAGAAGCTACAATTTTGTCACCTGTCGTCCCTCTGTGATTGCTGCTCACGTCCTTACGAGGGTACGAAGATAGTAGCTTAGTCTCATTGCACAACTGGTTGGGGTGTTGTAGGATGGGTTGTTCGGCAGGTGTGATGACGACTCACCATCGTGCCGGTCAAAGATTGGAAATCCGATATTTGGGAATGACACATTGTTGCATGAACGCGTTCATTTGACTTCCTACAAGTGAATGCAAAACAGAACTGGAGGATATTTAGACTAGTGAACAGATCAGAATGGTCAATTCTTTCTAGTGTTTATGTAATTCAGTCTGCGTATAAATCAGCTAGTAGCCTCTCTGTGCTTCGAAGACATTTCTTGTCAAGTAATTCAAGGGCTACTGCACAAATCCAATTGGTTGTCACATTCCGTGTTGCAATTGGTTGTACAATGACTGTGTGTATGTGTTAAACTCCAACAAGTCATGGGCCCCTACGCCGTTGACCAGTTGTGCGCCAATTTGTTTCTGCTATCTCGAATATATATTTTTTTCATTAAGATTCTTGCTCCTTAGTTATCGTTCATGTTTTTCATATTTATCGTTCATATTTTCATGTTTTTTCAAATTACAAAACTAACTCTTTCTTAACTAACTAACTCTTTGTTAATTAGTTTACTTTGTCTTCACTTTGTGCTTGAATTGTTTGTTCTTTTATTTTCTCTTCATTTTTTGCTTGAACTGCTTGAGTTAAACTTCCGTGTTTCAACTCTTCATTTTCAAACTTCTAGCACTAACTCCTCTATGAATTCATGAAAAATCAAGTTTGGAGTGAAGGTCTTAGATGGAGATCAATTCTTTGTCTAGAAATTTCACATAGGGATTGTATTACAAGCTAAGAAGATTTACAGTCATTATTGGTGTTGACCGTTGTCGTATTACGTGCTTTCTTGCTCGAGAACGCGTCGGGCGTCTGGCTGTAGAAGGTTGTATGGAGATTCGCCGATAGTCAAGCAGTCTATCAGTTTTTGACTGCTGGAATATAAACGACTGCAACAATGTACCGTAAATCTATACGGATGCTCTTCGACTGCTTGTCGAAGTCTTTTTTTTGCCCCAGCCGATAGGTCTCTAGACGTTACAGAGAACCCCGAACAACCCAAACTGTTAATCTTCAATACCCCTTTGTACTTACGATCTTGTATCCACTGACTGTCCTGTTAGATTAACCCAATAAATTTCATTCACTCCGCATACTCAATCCTATAGACACCCCTTTAATCCTTCAATCACAGACGTAACTCGATTTTACAAAACAGTCAAGAGTATTCAAACCCACTTCATTTAAAAATCCCGATTCACCATTACAACACTGACTTCAGCAGCGATTGCCTCAGTCTTCCCAAAACTCTACGAAGAAGAAAAATCCAAATTCTATGTCTTTCCTTCCCCGACCCGAAGCATGAAGCTCCTCTCTCTAATTCCCTTGATCTTCAAAAACCTCCAATGAAACCGAACTGGTAACTTTGCAAAAGCTTGAAAACTAGCTCCCCCCCGATTCCCCGAAAGAAAAAAAAAAAAAAACCTCCCCTTTCAAAACTATATCCCGAATTGGCTCCCACCTCAAGCTTGGATCCGAAATTGGCTCTCGCCGTCAAGCTTGGATCCAAAATTGGCTCTCGCCGTCAGAGCTTTCTCCTCCGTTTTTACCTTTAAGAAATCCATTTACCGAAAACAACGTTCCCTGAAACGGCACAGAGAACAGGACAGCCTGAAACAGAATCGAACCCCGTAATCGGGACCACATTGAGTCGCCCGACCAATTCAGGTCCTATATTGGGAAAGATGCCCGTAGTAACCTGGATGTTCCCGTAATTGGGTCAAATTGGTCCTCACGTCAGATTGGCTAAGACCTGTAGTAAGACCTGGATTTCCCATAATTAGACTGCATTGGGTTGACCGGCCAATTCAGGTCTCATATTGGATAAGAGGACCAGGATTGGATTATCGAAATTGGATCCAATTGGCTCCTCGAACCCGTCGTGTGAATTGGTCCTTCTCTTCCTTCTGACTCCCGTTATTGGAATCGAATGGAGCATTTCAGTATGCCCCGGCTGACTGTAACGGAGTGACTGAACCTGACCACTCAGTATTTGTACTGGAGTTGGTCGATGCTCCCAATATTCGAGGTAACTGAATATTAATAAAATTCCCCTTTCTTTTTATTTTCACTGTATACTCGTGTTACAACAAGACACCGTCAACCAATTATATCCATGAATTGAAATAATCCCAAAATTCAAGAACATATTGATTTATGGGATCAAAAAAAAGTTATACACAAATGCTTATAATCTTCAATATACCACCACATACTATTTTTAAATTAACAAGCATGTGGATAAAACTTTGCTTGATATATCTTTAATAAACTACCAAGAATATCTTTTAACTTTAAGATAAATTTTATTACTATAAAATATCTTAAAATAGTGATATTACCTTTCATATTTAAAATATCAAAATATGGCCTTGTTATTGAAGAATTTATAATACAAAATGCTTTAGAGCATGTTGATTTCAACGATCATATTGAGTCTCTCTCCGAATTACAGCAATATATTCATAGCTTGTATCAATGTATCAGAAGAACAATAAACCATTTTTATATTATACAAATGACTTCTTTGGCATAAAAGCTTGTTCTTGATGCAAAGTACACATGATGACCTTGATGACCTTGCCTTTTCTTCTTGCAAACAAACTAAAAAAACTACATAGGTAACTTATTGTGAGCAGTACCAACAAGTTTTTTAATACATTCATGATTTAAAAAGTTGATTGTAATGTTTTAATTGTAGTAAGAAGAATCATTTGTCTATAAATTTTTTGAAACCAAAAAAAAAGAACAAGCACCTTTCTTTGTTAATAAATGTTATTACTAAAGCTAATATATTAAAATATCTTTATTACTATTTTAGTTTTAATGATGGTAGTAAAGTTTCATATAATAAGCTACAAACTACTTCTAATTTGGAAAATACATATTTTGCATTCATGACCTCTACTTCATCTCACACACATTCTATTATTTGTATAGTGATTTTTTATATATAAATTCTATTTCCATAGAAGATATGACTAATAATTGTGAGTGATTTGAAATCTTTATTTTGAATCTAGAAGAAAATTGACTCCTCACAATTGCTCATGACCAAACTCTTTGGGCTCATGACTAAGAAACTATTAGCATAAAGCGCCATGTTATAATATGTCTTTACTCAAAATACTTATCAACATCATTTTTGTTTCTTCTCTTACTTAATTTTTGTCTTCTATTGGTATTGTCTTTAAAGTTGGCACATCTTTTGTATCCTAAAACCTTGTTGCTTGTAAGCTTTTGTCTAAAGAAAAAAAAATCTATTTTAGAAAGCAAGCATATCAATTGCTTGCATCAACTTCTAATCATTGTAGTTTTAAGAAAACCAACTATAATTCCACACAACATCAATTGAGATTTTCTACATTCAATTGCTAATTTTTTTAGACAATAACTTCCAATATGTTGAGATCAAATTTGTATTATTTTGGCTCAAATTTAATCTCAACATATTGATTTCTATTATAAATACATGGATTATATCAATATTTTTATTTTAAAATATATATATATATATATTTTTATTTTAATATAAATAATAGAATACCAAATTATTCACTTTTTCATAGTTTCATGCTAAGAATTTATACCAAATTTGTATATCAACAAAACAACAAAGAAATTTGAATTCTATTCTAAATAAATTTTTACATGATAATATTTGGAATAAAATTAATGTTCCATCTATTAGAGACTCTTTATATATTATACTTCTAAAAGATGATGTAATATTTTACTATTTTAAATATTTTGCAAAATAAAATTTAGAGATAATTGCATACTTTCAATAGATGTTAAAAGTCAAAAAATAATAATCATCTATGTTCATAAAATTCTTTCATATTAATCAAGGAAGCAAATATTATAATTCTACCTTCAAAAAATACATCACAAGTTCAACATTGTGTATAATTTGCAACAAAATAGTTATATCAAAAGAGACAATTGAATTGTTTTTAAGGCTGTTAGATTAATGTTATATTAAAAAAAGTATTGTTACTCCATCTTTGAGCCAAAACTATTAACATTGAGGTTTATATTTTGAACCAAACAATTAATTCTCAAAGTAGAAATCAAATCTCTTTTGAAATTTTTTTTGGTTCTAAACCCTCTATACTTCATTATAAGATTTTTGATTCTTTTGTATATATACATATTAAAAAAAACAAAAATAAAAAATACAAAACTTTGAGCTTAGTACTCTTCTATAAAACATTTCAGCTATTCTTTATTAAAAAAATCTTACAAAATTTAGCATACAATTATGAACGAAGTCATTAAGATCTTTGTTCCAACATTGGACGAAACATTTAAATGTTTTAATTTCAATGCATTTTTTAATTTTGATTCTTTAATTTTTTTATTTCTTAATTTTGATCTACTTCATTCCTCTCTAATTTCACAAGATAGACTCTCTAATGTAGCAACAAGTCTTCTTCTTGAAACTACACTCAATATTGTTTCTTTTGAATCTTAAGAAAAAAAAATTGTCTTTTAATTTTTTTGAACTAATGGAAGACTTTGGAGCAATGGGAGTTCATTTTTCTCTTCATGACCTCACCTAAGTTTTTTTAATTTTGCTACAATGTCAATATTACTAATCTATGCATGATATTTTGAAAAGTGCATCTTGCACCACATTAATCTCTACAATAAATGCCTCTATTTATCTCTATCCAAACTCTATGGCATATCTTACAATAAGTTTATATTAAGGCACCTGCCTCTCTTAAAGGCAATTAATAAACAAAAGCTATGCAAGTTGAATATCTTCAATTAATTGAAAAACACACTTAAGACAAACAATCCCTTCGATTTGGACAAAATACTATTTATTGAAAATTCATTTATAAAAACAATCATATTTCTAATAGTGAACTTCAAAATTACAAAGCTTGGCTTTTGTCTAAAGGATTCATGCAAAAAAAAAGTCTTGAATGCATTAAAATTTTCAGCCCAGTTGTTAAGCATCATTCTAGTTGTACTTTATTTGATGTAGTTGCTACTAAAGACATAGAGCTCCAACAATTCAATATTGTTATTGCTTTCTTAAATAATAGTCTATATAAACAAATCCACATATACCAACCACGAGATTTTCAACAATCTTTTCTAAAACTTTTATATTATTATCTTTGAAAGAGTTTGTATGACCCAAAACAAAGTGTTTGTAAGACCCAAAACAAAGTGTTTGTAAATGGAATAAAAAAATTAAATTATTTTTGAAACAATTCAATTTTCTTTCTTCTACTACCAACACAATACTAGACTTGTTTTTTTAGTTTTTTGTATAATTTTTCAATTATTTATTATATATGATTTCAAAAAATAGTGAATTTTATAAAATATTAGTATTTCTTTATTAGAATAAAAAAAAACCTAAAGAATGTTGAGTGGATGGCAAGTTGTGTTGGCAATAGCAAAATTATGGTTGCATTAGCAATACCATATATATATAGATACATGTTCTTAACAAATATCAAGCTTCTTAATTTCAAAATTAGCTTTCTTGTATACATTCTAATAACAATAGTACATAAATATTTGTATATTGTGAATATAAATTAAACTAAAAATATTTCAAATAGCTGTAATTATAATTTATTTATAAAATAATAAAAAATAATAATTTTATTTAAAATAAAACTCTTCTTTAATAGATTAATTAATAAAAAATTACTTTATTTATTGTCTATTTTATCCATCTAAATCTTTTTGAACTTTTGATAATATTACATCATATAGAAAAAAAATTATTTAATTTAATTTAAAATCATATTATTGAAGTGTAATATAGATTATTTAAAAATATATTATTGAAGTGTAATATAGAATTATATGTTATTCAAACCAAAGTTTATTACTAAAAGAAATTAAATCTATTAAATTACATTAATATATAATTCTAAAATCACTTTTTAAACCAACCATTATATTTACCAATCAAATCGTTTTAAGTATAATAAAAACATTCTTAGAATCAAAAAAATTGATCTTTGTATTTAATATATTGGCTTGAAAAAATACACTCTCATTTTTTAAAAGATATTTGTAGATAGTATTGCATAATATATAAATAATTTAATCTAATTTACAAGTTTCACCCAAGAAAATAAAGAAATAGTACTTATTAATCTTTACAAGTGCCTTGCTTGTTCTTTCTAGCTTTAACCACAAAAACATTATTTATAACTTCTTATGTTACAACTTCCATATTGGTGTTGATCCAGACACTTCTTAAGATTATATGAATCAATATAATTTATCTATGCAATTATTTGAAAAATGTATTTTTTCTATAAAAAATTGTTAATTCTAAGGTTTATTATTTAATATTAAATAAGAAAAAAATCATAATACATACATTATTTTTATTAAATATGAACTTCTAACAATTAAAAAATTATATGAGATCTAAATGATAATGTTAATAATAAATATTCTAGAACTTTTACTAATAAAGAAACCAAGATAGTAGCTAAAAATTGACAAATTTAAATAAAAAAATAATAAATTTATTATATAAAAATAGAATAAAAGATAATTCTATATAAAGATTTTAAAAATATAAAAAATATCATCATTGACATAAAAAATTTTATTGTAATAAAATCCATGTAAAATTTTAAAGCTTCAACCATATCAAAAATACAAATACATTACACATAGTAGAAATATTCAAAATAAATTGATAATATTAGCAATCTTATACAACTTTGTATCTAATAAAGAAAAGGATTTATTTATCTTTTAAATAGGTTTAGGATTTAGGGTTTAGGATTTTACTTGTATAAAAGATTTTTTTGTAAAGAAGTAAAACATAGCCAACTATAAAAAGTACCAAAATCATTACATAGAATATCTAAGTACAACAAGAATCATAAAAATCTCTAATATTTTTTATATTAAGAAAGTAGTACCTATATAGATGTATGATTGTCAAGATACTCTAGATATTCACTAAATGTAATAATAATGTAAATTGATTTTTATACCACTTTTTGGACTTTAATTTAAGTCAACATGAACACTCTCTGAAAAATAAAGAAGTGCTTGAATAATATGCATAGATTTAAAATACATTATTTTACAATAAAAAGATGATATAAAATCATAAAAAAGCTAATAAGTTGCAACATACTTGATATTAATGCATCTTAGTTCAATGCATTAGACTAATTGTATTTGATTACTATATAAAGTTTTAAATTTATCACAAGAGTTTTTTTAATCCTATAATTCTTTTACAGCTTATTTATACTATTATTAATATAATTATAAAGACTATTCATGACAAACTAGACATTAAAATTTATATATAGTCATGTTTGAATGGACTTACTGATCTTACTAAAAATGTTGCCTATTTAATTTTTCTGATTGTATAATACAAATTGTAATCTATACTTATTTTTAATTAGAAGCATATTATAGATAGTTCTAATTTTGAGGGTTTTTGTAAAACAAAGTATCAACAATAAAAGGAAATATAAAGAGATTTGTTATTAGATAATAATATGAGTCATATCAAGGACCAAGAAAAGCAAAACATTGAAGATACAAGGATTAGCTTCTAGATTTATGTAGCAAATTACCAAAAATAATAGCTAGTCTATTTAGACACACTTTGCCTACTAAGATTGTTTGCAAAATATTAGTTACATCAAAGCTAGCCCTTTACATCAACCACCAAGACTACTCCATAAAACTCACAAAGATCTAAGATTCCTATGGTTTATAGCAATTGCAAATCAAAAGACATTTACTTTGCTTCAATTTGGTCATATAAACATCTTTGAATTGTTTTATAATCTTTGCATTTTTCCTTGTACTATCTTTCCTTGGGCAATTCTTAACAACTTTTGGTTGCAAGCTACCAAATTAAACAACATTAAAAAAATACTTAAACCTACTCAAGCTCTTTGTTTTAAAGAACATCAATTTCACATTTCCAAGTGCCTATAATGGAGGTTGATTCTTGATGGCCTCAACTAACCCAACTAGATAATTCAAATAGAAAATGAATACCCACATACATGAGGATAAAAAGTTGGTGAAAGGCATTGGCTCAAAGTTAGCAGTAATCTTAGTGTGCACGGATCTGTTATCATGGATCAATAAGTGTCATTATCAACTTCACATGTGAGTTCAAATTGTAGAGCACTGTGGGTCGATCTGGCATCGTCAATTCAATTCATGAACTGAAACATTTTGATCGAATCCGTCGGCATCAATCCTGTTATGTGTGTGATTCGGTAAGTGTCTTCTTCCACAAATAAACAATTGTGCTGGTTGGTCACATCTGCAACTGAACTGATTGCTACTTACTTCCATGAGTTTGATTGTGAGTTGGTGGGAGAGACTCGCTTACTGTTGGCCCCGAACTCTCAATTTTCACTTAGCGAATCGTCACAAAAGTTTTACTAATTATTCAATCACTAGATAAATGAGGGTTAACTTGGGTTGATTATTAATCTACATCGTACAAAATTCTCATCTCTAATGCATCGTGTTTGCTACGAGTGCTCGAGACATATGTTTGTAACTGCACAATACAACTGTTGAACACCAAGTATCCAAGTGTAACTCTACACTATGTTAAGCTTAGAAAGTTAAGGTGCACATTGGCCTAGTTTACCTAAGCAACGAACTTGCCTGTACTTGTTTGGTTACAAATACTCCTTCTATCCCAACCTCTATCTCCAATAAGACACTAATCTGTTGATCAATACACGTGAAAAATTTCAGCCACTCAACGCGGGGTAGGAATAGCCGTAGTTGCTGGGTTTACGCCGCTGAAGCTACAAGGTTTTCCTTTGGAGTCTCCCTTTTTGCGGTCTCCTTCATGGCAGCTGCTTGTACTGCAGTAAGAGCGATAGTGGTGACAATATCTGGTACAGTGCAACCTCGACTCAAGTCGTTCACGGGTTTTCTCAGCCCTTGCAGTAATGGTCCCATTGCTACTGCCCCAGTTGTCTGCACAAAACCACTGTCTCATCAAGTTTGATGCTAAGGTAATCTATTCACTGTAGGTCAAGTTCGAACAATGAAACAATCACATCCTGACAAAAAAAACCAAAAATTCGACAGAAACGTGACGCTGTGGGTTCGGAACTCAGATAGGGCAAGCAAAGCTATGCCTTGCCCTATCTGAAGGTTCAAGTATCCAATCAGAAGGCAACTTCCTCCACTCCCATATTCAACTCTACAAAACCCGGCTTTCCACATCATGACAATAAAGAAGAATCAAGTCGTAGGACAAGGCATAGCGCTTGAAAATACCTGCTGAACAGCTTTGTAGGTATTGTTTCCAGTGTTAAGGTCTGGAAAGATGAGCACCGACGCCTACATGAAGACGATACATTTTCAGCCAATTGTCCTTGTAACTTGAATGTCAAGATGAAAAGCACCACCCAAATTACGATGGTCTACAAAAGCCTTTCACGCAAAAATTGGTTTGGTACACTGTACCAATTCACTTATCCATCAACCACAACATAGATATTCCATCAAATAAAAACAGGCTTTCTACGTGTGGAACGTATCGGATGTGTTGTTTAAAGAGATGATAGTGCAGATTTAACACGTGAAGAGGCAATAATTACCTTTCCAGCAACCTCAGATTCAGCCCCTTTCATCTTCGTCTTCGCTATGACAGGATCAACAGCTGCATCATACTGCAAAAACAATTAAGCTTTAAGTCAGATAATAAATGATGCTGAACGAATTTTACAGTCTTACAATTCGCAGGAACTCAAAATTGGCTACGAAGGATAAAATGCATCAATAATGAGAACAATCTTGTAAATAATAAAACCTACTGTCTAAGCCGCTAATATCTCAAACGATAAATACAACATTAGACCTAAGAGTTAAGCTTTTAATGATAAGAACAAGGAACGAATATTATTACCTGCAAAGGTCCTTCAATCAGCAAGTCTGGGCGTAGTTTTCTTGCAATTGCGGTTGCATCAATAACCTTTTGTATAAGAGGACCTAGTATCCAAAAAAATGGTAAATGTTAATTGCCAGACACCAATGTAATAAGATCCACATCATGATTTTCAGTTTGACATTTTGCAGTCATAGTTATATTTCAATTGTACTGCTGGGTGTTGAGAACAGACATTTAAACCACTCTAAATTCTCTCCAAAATACAAAAATTACGCTTTATGTTCAAAATCTATTCCATTCTGTAAATTTCCAAGTTAACTTCGAAATGAAAAATCACGAAGGTTCATCTATAATGACTTGTATAAATTATCAAAAGATGATCGACCTTTATTGGAGTCCCCTGTTGCATATGACAGCATTGCCACCCGTGGTTTGATTCCAAATGCAGCAGCAGTATCTGCAGAAGCTATAGCTATTGCTGCCAATTCTTCACTTGTTGGATCTGAGTTGATGGCACAGTCACCATAGACCAGTACCTTTCCAGGTAGGCACATGAAGAAGACACTGGAAACCACAGGAATGCCTGGAAGTGTCTGATCCACCCAAAAATGTACATCAATCGCATAGTTTATCACTGAGTCATGTGAGCTTTGGGAGATATCAGCGTACATAAAGAACGGAGAAAAATAAACCGAAAGCCGAAATGTGAGATTAGAGCTGATTCAACTGTCCACAACCTTAATTAGTTGAAGTGCAGGACGAACTGTGTTGGCAGTAGTATGAACAGCTCCGGAGACCATACCATCAGCAGCCCCCTCAGCTACCATACAAGTGCCGAAGTAATTCACATCCCCTATCAAAATATTGTGAGCTTGCCCAAGTGTTATTCCCTGTATTGATCGATATTTTCTCTTAGAATTGATGGATAAAGAAGATCTCCCATAAGTATGTGAACACTATTCTCCTAGGATTGCTGCCTTGTAAGTTGACAGATCAATGCGGGAAAACAAGATTAACAAGATGTCGTCACCATAAGTTTAGATGGTTAATGGTGCTTGTTCCCGAAATACCTTGGAAGTAAGGAAGTGAACGCACAATTTGTACAGGTGCCAAAAAACCTCCATAAGTGATCTATAATTTGTTCAAACCTAGCAAGTTGACTGCGTCGTTCACTAAGTACCTACACCATACCTAACGACCTAAAAACATGGATTAATATAACAGATGATCATTTCACTGTTAAACCGAAGACAAACCAGACGAAATAGCAGTAAATATGCAGGACAGTAGAAACCAATACTTCGTATAACGCAAGAAAGTTTACCAAAAACAATTACCTTGTGCTTACGAGATTCATAAAAATATCTGGCATACTTTTCAGTCTCAGGGCAATCTCTTGGATCAACAATGCGAGCTTGACTAATGTCCACTCGAAATTGTTTTGCCAAAGTTTCAATCTTCTCCCGATCTCCCAGCAAAATTAGATTGCAAAGTCCCCTTCGTAGAACAGTTCCTGCTGCTTGTAATGTTCTAGGTTCTTCACCCTGCTAGTACGTGAGACTTATTTGTTAACAAAGTTAACGTGATGCAAAGCTACTTGTCAACATGTTCAAGTCATGACAGCTAAGTGGTTTAATACAATATACAAGCTCAACAAGTAATGCTGCAATAACTACCAAGTAATGAGTTTCCATCGAATAAGACCTCGAACGCCAGAAATGAATTCTACTGGCACGGTTGACAGAAAAGACAGCCATGAGCACAGGAAATGACCTCAGGTAACACAATTGTCTGAATGCATTGTTTAGCCCGCGTGAAGAGGTTATGTTGGAATAGCTTGGAGTTCATTCGCACCGGACGTTCCTGCAAATCAGCATGCAGTCAACATTCGGTTGATAACAATATGGATGTTCTTGACAAAGAGCTTCGTTGTAAAAGGAGAATTTAATTCAAACTTAAATTTCAATCCAATAGGTACTGGAACAACATTAAGACCAGGCAGGTTCAATTCTATGACAAATAGTTTACCTGGAACATTGCATCCTTAATAAGCTTCATGTTGATGTTGTCGTCAAATAACGTCTGCAAGAAAAAACGATGAGGTAATGTTAACACTGAAACGTTTTTACGAATGATTACACATGAACTTGCACGTCATGAACTGGGAACACGACGAACGTACCTGAGCCCGCTCGACCTTCAGAGGAGTTTTGGACGAGATATAGCCCTCCACATTTGCAAGTGCAGATGCAGTTTCAAATGTCATTTGAGGACTTAGGATAATAGGCAATGTGCCTGAATTCCGGGCCTGACATGCAACAAAAAGAGCGATTAATCTTACACAGTTATGTACTCAATACTCAATACAAGCAAAAGGTGACATCGAGATCAGATACTGCAACATGTATCAAGCAAATGTCATGGCCAGGTTGTTGATAACGACTAGTGAAATTAGAGCTGCACCTTCAACAACTCATGGACCTCCCTCGGTGGAGGCTTGCCCCCACTAAGGACCACGGCTGCTATGTTTGCATTCGACTTGGACTCGTGAAGATGTATCAGCCCCAGTAGAATGTCAACTCGATTTGCGGAAGTAATGACGATGGAGCCCTTCGTCGGATCAACATATCGAGGCAAGTGGCGAAGCAAATCAGATAGTTGTTCAGTAGCCACAAGATATTGAGTGACTTCCGTTGACATAGCAACCTCCTCATCCTCAACTGGATATAGCAGTCCTGCTTCGAGCTTTTTGGCAACATCTTGTACCTATAAAACATAAGAAAGCCACTAGAGCACGAGAATTTGAGGTTCTTAAGCACATAAATTAATCTCTTAACATCACACTAAACTATTTAACGATCCAATACTTCCGAAAACGCACCGCAAACCATTTAACTATACGATTCTTCCTAGAACTTACTACATTCTAACCAGCCAATTTGTACTGGAGAAACCCAAATTCCACTTCTTTATACAATATAGGCTTGGCAGGTAAGCGAGATTGTCATTTTAGACAGTACGATACTGTAATACACTACAGTAGAAAATGCTATCCCAATGTCGCTATTAGAAACATGTAGAATAATGACCATCGTCCCAAAGGACTAGTTTTTACCTAGATTCTGATTGACTATCAGTGAACATTAACGATAGCCAAATTTACCTGCACAGACCGCAAGACCGAGTCCTCAGGCAAGGCTCCTACAAATGGTATTTTCATTTCCTCAAACACCTTCCGGAGCAGTTTATCTTTCCTTTCAGTTTGGGGTGTACGATGGACGATTGCTCCCACCACATCCACGTGTTCGCGTCTGAAAACCAAGTCACTCAGCTTGGCATTGTTAACAACCCGTTTCTCCCAGTCAAATCCATCCCAATTCTTCATTTTATCCATCTTGCCACAAGCAATTCCTGCAAATCCAAATGTCGGCGAAACCAGGGTTTAACGTATAATACTGTTTGGGATAAATTTTTCACCGCTAAGAGTACTTGAAGAAAGTCATTCACACAAGTGTATAATCGCACAGGCATGCATACGCAAATGATCATGGGCCGCAAGGCGCTATTGCTGATGAAGCAGCAACACGCTTTTTGAAATAATTGAAAGGCAGAGTATTCTACGCCTGCTACTTACACAATGGATCTTAATGGCAGGCTGGTTTAACACCTCTTAAACCTGATGACCAACGAAATACCTGCATCTGTGACAAGTAATGCTGATGATCCCAGAGTTTGAGCGATTTTGGCATTAAGGGTGACTGTGTCGTCACCACCGCCTCTCAAACTTGTCCCCTCAACAACTACAAAGTCGTGTTTGACCCTGCAAGCTTCATAGGCTGCGTCCATTCAAACAAATGAATCAAGGAAACTTAAAGATAAATAATATTATTTATTTTCTTCGCAAGTATCAGACCAAAAGTGAGCTTAAAGTCGTACACAATAGGAACATAAAGTGGAAGCTAAAACATAACGTAATACCAACCTTTGAGAACTTCTTCCAACAAGTCATCAATCTTGTCATTCGTGACAAGCTCATAAGCACGGTCCTGCGTAACCCCCTGCATGATTGCTGGATCGTCTTTCATTTTGAAAACGCTCTTGATCAATTTGGACCTGAAAACAAGCCACATTGCGACACATCATCAACCAATAAGGCTTTTTTCATAACATATCAATCTCAACGCACAACCAATTACACAGTGCAGGCTCATGTACGACTCAAACAAATCATGATCTGCCAATCCAAACTTTTAGAATTTACAAATTATGCTCAGAGAATTGTAATGACACAACAACCCATTCCGGGATTCCCTCAAATAAAGTACCTATACTTGCCTTCCACAGTACCGGATATTTTTCATTGATGCGTGACAATCCATGAGAAAATCAAGAGACACAAAAGTTTTAAACATAATTTCGATCTTAGAGTACAAGCAATAATCATGCAAAATTCACAAAACCCCTGCTAACCAACAATAGCGAAACAAATGGTGCACCCGAACTCACCTATAGCCACCAATTGTGGTTTGGTCGATGGGCCTGAAGTAGCCTATTCCGGGTTGCAATCTCTCAAGGGAGTGCAATAAACCCACGGTCACTGCAACCGAGTCACGACCAACGCCACCAATCGTGTGATGAATGTAAAGGCTGTTGGTGTGGGTTTCTCGCGAGGATATTCCCCATCCATGCTTCCGCACGCCCGTTCCCGACGCGTCATAAATCCTTCCTAAACCTCGACCCTGCAACCCAGCGAGAAGTTCTTCACGAAGAACGCGTCTCACCTTCTTTCCCACAGCTCGCAACATACTGCCAACTAAATCGGAACACGTATTTCACCCGGCTATGGCACAACGCATCAACTATATCCCTCAAAAAAAAAAAAAAACCCACGCTACATGTTCATGGACTTGAACTCGCATTCAACGATTCCCTCCAAAGATCCTCCTCGTAAACACGACAACCGCATGATACTCGACAACCACAATCAACTCCTCGTCCTTCTTACTCCATAAGCCAATACAAAGAACATGACCTCGATCCACGTCAGCAGCAATCACACGCCCTGCATGACGCCACTCTTCCACACCAATCACCAAATCCTTCTCAGAGACCAAAAATTTTTCGCCTAATCCCGACTACATCACCTAAGTTCCACTAAACCAGAACCTGTTCCGAAATCCAACAATCAATCGCTCCATCAAATAAATAAAAAAAACACGCACACACACACAACGCTAAGAAGCGCTGAAATGAAAGACAAGACTCATCATCAAATTACAGTACGATTTTGGAGTTGGCCTTTCCATTGGCGTTGCAATGAGAAGACGCTAGTGGCGTCGCAAGCTGGATTGGTCCATGCAAGAGGTGGCTATGGCGATCCATGAGCAAGAGCGAGGCGGCACACGTGGTGACCCCGTTGGCTTTTCCATCCCCAGCCCCGCCCCCGTCCCCGCCCTGGTTGCCATCACCATCCTTCCCTCGCTGGGATGTGGACGCTCCAGCTATGTACGAGGGCGACGGCGCCACGCTCCCTCCCCCGCGCTCCACTTCCCTCTCCCGTGTGAACGCGGAACTTTTCAAAAAGCCGCTCTTGCTCTCAAAACGTGAAAGTAAAAGTAAAAAAGCTGCTTCGGGCCTCACATGTTGTGTGTGCTGCTTTGCGTTGACAGCACCTTGTTTCGCTTTCTCTTCGACTGTATTCTTTGCCTACGACTTGTATGTTTTTTTTCCAATTTTTAACTCGAGAGTGATGAATATTAATTTTATTTCTTTATTTTTTTACTTGCTTCTCGAAAATAATGCGCACTTGTGATCATACTAAACCTTTTGTATTTTGTGTAAACTATTGCATGTGTTTTTTAAGCAGAAGAAATTGAGATATGTAAAATATTTCGTATTTTCATTATTATTTCAAAAAAATAAATATCACCTAGAATATATATATATATATATATATATATCTATATGTGTGTGTGTGTGTGTATACACTCTTAAATAATAAACACTTAAATTTTTTTCCTAAAATAAAAATGGGGAGAAAATACATATTAAAATATAAAGTATTTAAAATATTTATTTCATTGTGTGGGTAATATTGAATATAATATCATATATAAGTAGTCAATCATATTTTTTTTTTAAGAATTAAAATTCTCTGTTTTATGAAATCTATTTTTCATTTAAAATCAAAAACATTTATTAAAAAAAATCAGAACATGAAAAAAACTAAACTAAAATAAGCGACATGTATTAAAGAAAATAAATAAATATTTACCTTAATTAACAAGGATTTGTAGAAGGGAGTTTGCTGATAGTGCACAAAACCCATTAACATGCTTGTAAATCTAATTCAGCTAGGGAATTAACAACACACAAAATCAAAAGTCCTATTTTCAGTGTGTTTATACATCTATACAAAATAAATAAATAAATAGAATCAAAAATTAAAAATCAAAACGAAACAAAAATCTAAAAACAACAACAAGATGAGAGAATTACCAACATGTTTCATGAATCCTGTAATACTTTTTTTTCACGAGTTTAGATTTAGTGATTGGACAGAATTGAGAAAATTATCACACATATATACAAATCATGAGAGATGGTTTATAAAATTAATTTAATTAGGCTTAAAATTAAAAATAAATCAAAAATTAAAATTAAAATTAAACAAAAAATTTATAAAAGTTGTAGTGAGATTTTTTGTAGTCATGTTATATCATTTTAATAAGATTATAAAAAAAAATATAACTAATTTTACTTTTTAATTGTATGCAAGTTAATTATTTTAACATATAGCTATATATATATATATATATATATATATATATACATATTGAATGATATAAGCAACAATAAAAACAACGTAAAAACCCAAGCTACATCTCATATTCATATTACTAAAACATACTTACATTATTATAAGAAGAATGATAATTGCAAGTACTGTAATATAGAAGGCCATTGTAAGAAAAAATATTAGATAAAAAGAGTAAAATAATCAAATAAAGTTAATAATATTAAAATGATAAGTAAATTTAAAAGTGAGTATGTGATTATGGTGGTGTTATCTACTACTATAGGTAAAAATAGTTGTGTACTAACACACATGCAAACCCACATATACTAAAGATTGAAGTTGAAACTTTGTATCTATTAAGATGAATTCTTAAGCATACATTTGTCTTACAAAAAAAACCAACTTTGTATCATGGAAATTCACATGTGTTATTATATTTACTAAAATAAGTAGAAATAAATAAATTAGGTAGAAATAAGTAAAAGTAATTGAATAAATAATATCTCATTAGAAGGCTTCTTAAAACATTTGTAGATATAAATTTGACTTTATAAATATTTTTAGGTGATTGATAGATTGAAAACTTGGTTATGATGTATATATATCAAAAACTTACTATACAAGTTGGACATATGTTATATAGCCTATCAAGCATTATTATATGGTTCTTTAGTTAAATATTATATCTTTAGAATTTTGTTGTGATTCTTGTCTTTTATACATTGCCATCAATATTATAAGATATGAAATTTCTCATAAGATATTAAGTTTTCTTTAAAATATTTAAAATATTTTTAATTACTAAAAAAAAATATTTTAAAATTTTATTTTTAGAATCAAATATTTAATTACATTAATGATTTAAACTTAAAGAAATTTTAATTAAGTAACATGATTACTTATCATCAATTACAAAAGCTTATAGGATTAAAATTTTATAAAAGATATATTTAAATAAATTAATATATCAATTTTTTATTAATATATATATATATATATATATATATATATATCCTTGATTTTTTTTAAATATTACGAATATCCCTCAATTTTTAATAATATTATATATATTCCTATTTTTTTGTGATAATTACAAAAATATCCTTTAAGATAATAATTGTTGGATGAACATCCAAACACAATATATTTAAAGATTCATTTGTCATCTATATATAGGTTCACATTTGATGGATCGATAAGAGCTACTCAAAAGATTAGACAATCAGAGAGTATAAGTTGATTAGAGAGAGAATACAAAAAGTATTGAACTCTGATGTTACTAAATGATTATATATGATAAAATAAAGAAAGAATTTACTAACTTACTATGAGTATTTGATTATAGAAAGAGTAAAAAATCTTTTAGGTTATAGGTCCACTATTGCAAATACATTGCACAGACTTCTAGAAATAATTATACTTCAAAGTTAATTACTTTGATATCATTTCTTCTCATGTAAAGTTAAATTTTAGTAGTTCAATTTGATTCTTTTACTTATTTTTTAATCCAAAAAAATATAAATTAATCAAGAACATTGCAAACAAACTTGAGGCATAGAATAATATATATATTTGAAAATTTTATATTTATGAATGTAGCATTCTTATCATTTTTACAGCAAATTCAAAGATTCTACATTCTAATTTTTGTAATTTATATTCTAATTTTCTTTTTTTTTCTTATTAAATTCTTATTTTTTGAATTCTCATTTTTATTCTTCTTGAATTCTTGTGACTCTTGATTTCTATATTCTACTATCTTATATTTTTCAAATTTTTTATTATTTTATTATTTTATCATACTCTTCCATCATGGATAAACATGACAAAATACCAATCAAAATGTTTGATGGAACTCATTTTTTAATTTGAAAATACCATGTCGAGATTATTTTTGAATTAAAGAAGATTTTACAAGTTGTTATTAGATATAAAAAATGACCTCTTATTGATATAATTCATGCCTCACTTAATGATCAAATACTTTGTTATTCTTGTTGTGTTCAAGCTTCAATATACCAAAGCAATTGAACTAATAGATGTGAGTTCGAACATGGGAAAAGATTGGTTATATGAATTGGATCTGTTAGTGTCACAATTGACTATACTCTGGCTATCTGAAATCAATTATCAAACTACAAAATACCAAGGCTTACTACTTCCGTCTTAATTCAACCCATAATCCATTCTACGACTATCAATTCAACAATACTTCAATATTCTTATCCGTTCATCTCCCACTTACCCTCATTGTGGTTTATATATATTCAATTACTGATCTCTAGCTTACCTATTGTATTCAGTTTCTCAATTCCTCTGTCACGAACATACTCATGTAAGCTAGTAATTACATATACAAATAGATGGAAGTAAATAAAATTAAATAAAAGTAAGTCAATTCTATAGTATTTAATATGAAAGATTCCTAGAAGCTTCATAGACACTGCTTTGACTTCATAGGTGTCTTTAATTGACTTTTTAGATTAGAAACGTCGTCAACAAGTTGGCCATGTGCCACACATGTTGTTAGCTTGAAGATCAAGCTAATTATGTAGCCCACACGTAGAAAAACTTGCCTTGTAAGTCAAGGCATGTGTCCTACAAAGTCAACACATATTGGAGGTCCTATAGAACGTCACCACGTAGCCCCTAATTAGAAAGTATATATATAGAGACAAGAGTGAAGCCTTCTTCACTCTTGTCAACTTCTTTCTTGCTTCCAATCTAGTTTCAAGGGTCTCTAGTTTTCTTGTCTTTTGGCAATAGCCATTCCAGTTTTTCTTTCAATATACATACTTGTTTATTTATATTTTGTTACCTTTCTTTAAATGAAGGCTCACTTGTTTGAATTGCTTTTTCATTGAGTTCTTGTCCTTGACAGATTCACAAGAGTACACCTACAATATCAGAGCTTTGTCTAATCTTGATTAAGAGTGGATTACCCCTTTTTCTTGATAAGATATAAGCATATTAGAAGTTACGGATTACCCTCTTCTAAATTGATATTGTCCTTAGTATTTTCTTTGTTCTCAAGTCCTCTCTTCTATTTGTCTTGAGCGATATTAGACATCTTCTCTTTTTTAAGTGTTATCATGACAAAACTTATTAAAATGAAGAGTGCAATGGCACAAATGCAAGAACAATTGAGGGAGTTAATGCTTACGATGCATCAACTCAATTTACCACCACAAGGAGCAATAAGATTGGCAGGAAGTGAAGATATAGAAATAGTTGGAGCTGCTTCAACATCTGCTCCAAATCATATCCTTTCTCCAATGGTGGAACGCCCTCCTAGTGTTAGAGAACCAAGAATTATCCTACTTGAGAAGTTTGATGGCACTAGATCCAAGTTTCAAGGATTTATCAATCAAGAGTAACTTGTGTTTGAACTTCAATCCCAAAGCTATCCAACTCCAGGGTCTCAAGTTAGATTCATTGATACGCTTCTTTCAGGTTCAGCACTATCGTGATTTTCATCTTTTTTTGAATGACGAGATCCAATATTAGATAATCTAGAGGTTTTTTTGGTGGAGTTTCGGCCATGTATGGAGAACATGATGCAATTCGTGTTGCAACCAATAAGATCCGTATTTTACGATAAGGTAATCGATCATTAACATTGTACGCTTC